AAAAAAGAATTTTCTTTAAAAAAAAGATTCTTTCTCTCCTCTACCCCTCCCCTGCTCTCTCTCTTTTCCTCTCTCAATAAAATAAAATAAAATAGACATATTTAAGGTATTTCTCTCAACCAGAAAGTTCTTGTTTTTAATTGGAGGTACTATGCATGGATTGAAAACACATATTTCTGAGAAATGTGGACAAAATGCTGTCTGCACATCTTATATGTGTTTCTGACTATGAGTGTGTGTGTGTGTGTGTGTGTGTGTGTGTGTGTGTGTGTGCGCGTCCATAGGCAAAGTTAGCCAAAAGAATTTTGTCCTTTACTTGGCGTAAAAATTACCTTTGAGATAAGTTTTTGTTTTATGTATAGTCTTGGAACCAGTGTTCGAGATCTCAAGTTTGACACTTTACCTTTGAATAGTTATCGTTTATCTTCTCAGCAACTAAACTAAAAAAGCTTTTGGAATTACTGAGCACAAAGGAAACCACAATGAGTAATTAACGTAATATGAGTGATGACAGGACTTCCCTACAAGTTCTGGATTCTGCTTCTATACACAGGAAGTCAGCTTTGCATGTCACTTTTTCTAACAGCATGATTCTCTTATCTCGCATTTCATTTCAATTTGTCAACTATTGTTTATTTACAACTCAAGACCCAGGTGGAGGATTTTAAGAAGTAAGAGTGCTAAAATTATTACAAGCTAATCAAATGTCTATGGTGATAGTTCTCAGTAGGGGGTATTTTTAATGGGAAAATTTCCCACATATCTCTGACATATTTCACTAGGCGAAACTCTTTGGTCCAAGTAATGAAAATTCGCTGTCAAAAAAAAAAAAAAAAGTCTTCTACTAAAAATATTTTCTGTTCTTCAGGAAGTCATGTGTAACCTACATGCTTTCACAAAATGGAAGGAGGGAAGCAAACATTTTCCTAAACGATATATAACTTTGATAGAACTTATAATAAACTTAGTTGGCAAAATGAGGGCCAACTACAAATTTCCACTGTTTTCTATACACCAGTTTATCTATCCTACTCTAAGCCCCACCTGCCTAAAATATCATCTCTGTTTTCATTTTTCTTTCTTTTCTCTTCTCATCTAAGAGTTTTAAATTTTCTGATCTCTAGGTTAGGCACCATCTAATTATTTTAAAGAAAGGTAAAAATTAACATAAGCAAATCCAACTCCTGCTAGCCTGTTCCTACAAATCTATGTGGTATTTTTCTTTCTCTCTCCATGGGACTGGTTTCCTACTTTGCTTTCAGTCTTTTAAAGATATATTTGAGGAGACATTTACTGTTGCCCGAAATAGTCCCTGAGATTCTGTTCAATATGTCTTTTTGATCCTTTAATTATATTTTTTGTTCTTTTTGGCAGCTTTTATAGATCTTCCAATCCTCTTTGTCACTACACATTACATTGTTACAAGGCTTCTGTTTATTGCCTATAGTACCCTTTATATTCCACTTTAACTACATGGGTCTCTGATGAGTCTAAAATGATGAGTGCCAATTGACTTATCTATGAATTGATAGAGGAACTCTGAACAAAGAGCTATTATTTGGAATCCCCTCTTGTAGCTAATAGTTCCCCAAATGCTATTTCATTCCAATGAGTCCAAAAGAAATCACCTTGTTACCATTATACAATATTTTAGTAGCCTCAGTCCTAGTAGAAAGATGTCCATAGCCTAGAAATTAGATGGTAACATTAAGTGATAATTTAAGTGCTTACTGCCAGAGCACTTTAATACTTTGAATGCTAAAAGTACAAAGGAAACCTTATTGAAGAGAAGCCTATACACTCATAGAATGTCAGTAATAGTAACCAAGTATAAATAAATATGAATTCTACTAAGCAAATGACCTCTATCACAACATGGTCTCTGTGTGTTTAATAAAAATGCATATGCCAATAATACCATTTAGACATTCCGTTCAAAACGTCATCGAGCTCCTACCATGTGCCAAGTCCTACCCTAGTCTCTGGAAATACATGGACAAATGTCCCCAGGCATCCCCTCTAACAAAAGGACTAGATATGTGCATGAATGCACTTCTTTCTACAAAGAAGAAACCTCAAAAAGAATAGCATTGATGCACCTAGAGATACAAAGATACATAAGATATCCTTTCCTTCAGAAAATGTCTCTTTAATACAAGAATTCACCCTTCCTTTTCCATCTATGCTTTAAGTAATAAAAATTAAAATTTTACAGAGGTGCCTGGGTGGTTCAGACAGTTAAGCATACGACTATTTTTTTTATTTTGAATGTTTATTTATTTTTGAGAGAGAGACAGAGAAACAGAGCACAAGCAGGTAAGGGGCAGAGAGAGAGAGGGAGACACAGAATCCAAAGCAGGCTCTAGGCTCTGAGCTGTCAGCACAGAGCCTGATGCAGGGTTCCAATTCACAAACCTGAGCCAAAGTCAGACGCTTAACCGACTGAGTCACCCCTGTGCCCCAAGAATCTGAGTTGATTTTGGCTCAGGTCATGATCTCAGTTCATTTCGGCTCAGTTCATGAGATCCAGCCCTACTTTGGGTACTGCACTGATGGCATGGAGCCTGCTTGAGATTCTTTCTTCCCTTTCTCTCTCTACCCTTCCTCCACTCTCTGTCTCTTGCTCACTTTCTCTCTCAAAATAAATAAATAAGCATTAAAAAAGTTAAAATTTTATGAAAGGAATTCATGTCAAAGTTTGAATATAAAGTCCAAAATGTAAGGACTCCTTCAAGTCTGTTCAAATGTCATCCATGCTCTTGGCGAGACCTACCTTTACTGTTCTATTTAAAATTACAGTATAGCCCCCAGTGCTCTGTTTAGTCTTTCCTTCCTTTATAGCAGTCATTACCTCCTAACATATTATCCAGCATCTTATTTATTATCTACTTCATCCCACTAGAAAACAAACTTCATGTGGGCAGAGTATTAGGTCAGCTTCGTTCACTGGAAAGAAGTAGCCAACATCATTAGTTGTTGATCTAAAGACAACATCAGTGCCTGGCCCAGAGTAGACAACTGTTTAATTTTTGTTGCATGAATAAAGACTCACTGAGTATAAATCGGAAGAAAATAACATAATAGTTTAGTTTGTTCAAGGTATGAATTTAAAAATAAGCAAGTACTTGTTTTGAGTTGCCTTTTCAATATGCTTAACTAAGAATGCTTTTCTATAATACCTTTAGTCTCATAATGTGGA